CAGTAAAGTGCATTTATTTTTTTAGCTATCTTAGTAAGATTTAACAGGAAAAAGAAGTTGAAATGGCAGCATCCTGTGATCAGTCAGGTCTTTGTCGACCACCATCATGTACTGCAAGGACCATCTGTTACAGGGAAACCAGGACTTGAAAACTTGCTCAGTTTTGATTCCTAGCTAATCTGGGAGCACAGATCTCATTTGAAAGAAAAAAAAAAATATTCAAAACACAAATAACCCTCACTTATGCTGACGTAGAAGCTACTGGAATAATTTGAGTGGATGTTTGTACACATTAGTGTACTATGAACAATCCATAGGCATGTGGAGGAACTGGCCTCTGTGTGTGTGAGTAGCAGCGTTCCAGAGCTCTGTGGTTGGCTAGACGTGGGTGGCAAAGTGTCATCTGTCTTCAGATGCAGCTCCTGTGCATTCTACATTGTTGTCTTCTACATCGAGGGTTTGAAATGCCTGATGGCTGGCTCTGTAGGATCATTTGGGTGAATGTCTCTTGAAAATACTGGTTAATATCTTGGAAAGATTCTGACATTTCAGGTGATTTTGGACAAAAAGACTGGAAGGTCATGCTAATTTGTGTCTGGCTCCTCAGTAAGATGCTCTGAACTGCTCTGTACTTTCACTTTTCCTCTCCTTGAGTTACTCTGACCAAAATAATCGATTCTTTCTCTAGGTAAAATAAAGAATTCTGAATCAACTAAAGAACACACTTTGGAAGCTGATTATTTAGAAAGCACCGCTACTATTGATGAATCTAATCTGACAGTTGAACAGCAGCTAGGATTGAAACAAGCTGAAGAACGTCTGGAAAGAGATTATATCTCCCGACTTGAAAAAGTAGGTTGACTTATTTATCAGATAAGAAAGAAAATGGGTGTCTTCTTTCATTATCATCACCATTTTTCTGGTTGGGTGGTATTTCTGCTAGAGCCTGTTGTCTCTGTTTCTTTCTTTATAATTAATCACTGTAGTGATCTAAGATATTACTTCTAGTAGTTGACTAGTCAGTCATTGTGATGTGGATTCAAAAATTAGTGGGTTTTGTGGCACATGTTACCTTTGTAGAACAGGATTTTTTAATTCTATAGACCCAAAGATTTACAGTTCCATTACTTAAGGTTTTCTAGAACATCTGGTTATCTGGAAATTCAGAATGCAGGATAGAAGGGAACCTTGCACTCTCTTAAATATTTTAGCCTTCCACCAGTCGGAGTCACCCTATATTGAAGATGACTCCTTAAAAGTATTTGTCTACACTGTCCTTAATTATCTTAATTATCTCCAGTGAAACGCATTTCAAACTCGGTGTAGGTGACCCAGAAGTTTTTCTTAACATCTAATGTGGCCCTTCCAACATTTTAATCCCTTATATGTTGTCCTAAGAAAATAAGCATAAGTTTATTCCTTTTTACATCAACTTTCTGTACATTTGAAGATCATTTCTATTCCTTCAGTCTTACCTTCTTTAGACTTGCTCTTTGATCTTTGGTCTGAGGGGGGTTTTTTTGGTCCCTGGTTCCTTCTTGTTGCTTCTCTGTAGGCATCTGCCATGTAACTGTTGGAGAGGCAATTTCAGCTGAGGTCTTACGTGTAAAGAGGAAAACAGACTTCATTTGCCTGAAATATAGTGTTTGTGTTTAAGATACTTGCTTTTTTAGCAAGCAACAAGACATTGCCATGTACTTTGACCAGCAACGATCCCTCTATCCTTTTCTGAAGAAATTCCCAATCAGGTGTTCCCAGCCCTATATTTTTTGCAGTTGATAACACCTAGGGAGGAGTAATACTTTGTTTTGATATTATTTAATTGCAGCTTAGTTATTCTATTTCTCTAATTTGTTGTGATCACTAAACTTTAGTCATCTTGCATCTTCTGTAACCTCTCCAAACTTGGTCTCTTTCACATTTGTAGTCAGCTCTCCCTCTATTGCATTTCCTAAGACTTAAAAAAAAACAACAAAAAAAAGAATGTTTCTGACCCCAGAAGGACCCATGTTGAAAAATAATTGGCACATACTTTTAGACTGGTGGTGAACCTGAGTAGATAGGTAGGCTCTTGAGTTTTCTGTGCAGTTTTGCTCCCACCTTACAGTTCTTTATTTGGTTATGGTTTCCTTTTGAGACTGATAGTATGACAAGTGACAAAAATTCTGTAAAATTTAAGATATAACATCTGCTGCTGCTTCTTCAAGCCCTATGATTTTATCTTTAAAAAAGCAACTCTAAAATTGGTTTAGTGCAGTTAATTTATAGCAGATCAGTTTGTTACCTATGACCTGTTTTTTGTGCTTATTAATAATTTATGACAATATTTTTCTAAGTGCTAATTCTGACTGCTCTGTAATTCCTTGGGTCACCCTCTTTAGCCTTTTAAAGCTATTCTTAACTTTATCTTTTCTAATGATCTGAAACATTTCCATTTTCTGTGAGTTCTTAAAATACAGAGGACTGTGAGATGCTCCCTGAAGATCCAAGCACAAATTTCATGAGGCCTGGCTTGTTTGGTTGCATCTGTCTTACTCAAGTAGTAGTCTGTAACTTTTTTTGGTTTTGCTGTTTAGAGTTCTTGCCCTTTTCATTGATGTTAAGCATAACTAGATGATTAAAAAAGGCTTTACAGTAAAGGTAAAAGAAAAGACATTGCATGATTCAACCTTTCTGTCAACATCTGTTGACATAATACTGCAGATCAGTATTATAAAGAAATACCCCACTTAAAAAATAGCGTTATTGCTGATATTCATTCAGTTTTAGGAGAGTTGTAAAGTATTTTTTATCTACTTCAATCATCAGGTGTCAAATATTTGAAACCTCTGAGCTTGCCAAGTGTAACCATCTACAAGTTGTTTCCCAAATGGATATTTAATTTCATCTTACTAGATATCTCTCTCATAGGAAATAAGGATGAAGATAATTAACAATAAAAGTATAATGACTGTGTTATTTTAAAGTTATATTTACCCTGCAGTTGGGTGGTATCAGACCTTTTTTTTTTTCCCAAAAGCAAAAGATCAGACATAGTCAGTGGAAAAACTTGCTCAAATTTAGCTGTGGTTTAGGTTTCCGTATAGTCAGTCAAATTTGTTTAACTGCTCCATAGTCCATCTTAGTGTCTTAAAATGGTGTTCTCTGTTAATTCATTGTTATATCACTGTTTAAACATCTGCTGTTTTCAGTATACTTTTAGATTTTAGTAAATATAGATGTATTAGAATTGGGATGAAAATGTTAAGTAGGGTTTTTTTCTCTCCCAGTTATAACTGATAGCAGTTATTGGAAAAATGCTGATATGTCTGGAGAAAAATAAAAGGCTTTTTGTTGGGGCCCTTTCGTCTTTGCAGTGAGCATGCCAAAAGGTTTCCAATATCTATAGCTATGGTTTATTTGAGCAAGAAAATAAGACTGCAGGAAGAGACAGATTGAAGTGCAGTGTTTGTGAACAGCCCCGCATCTTTGCAGTGGTAGTTCTTTCTGCCTTTTTGTCTAGTAGGTCTTGGTGGTTTCCTGGTTGAATAAACCCTACAGTATGCCCTCTTGAACCCTAGGAAAATAGTGATTTCTACCTCTACCCCCATCATCTTCTGAGGCTTGGCAGCTGCTTGCAAACTCCCAGGGGTCTCCCAGGTGGCAGCTCTCCCATCTGTGTACTACGTCTCTCCCGGCCTGTCTGTACAAAAAGAAACTTGTTCTGTGTGTTTTTCCAATTCTGAACATCCCACATTGCTCATCAAAATGGAATAATCTTACCCCTTGCCAGAGAATCCCATCTTATCCAGAGGACAGTCCTTAGCAAGTTAGAAACTGGCTGGCTTCTTCCTTGTTGGCCAGCTGCACCCTTTTTCATAGAACAAAAAAAATGCAGTACTTGCTCAGTATGCTGTGAATATACAATCCCAACAACACCACCATCTGTCATAACATCTATAGTAGATAATATGATGAATACTTCCCATATTCTCATCAGAGAAAGGAGGATAGATCTGAGATTTAATAAATCCCCATAGTTATTAAAAGCTTGAGCTGACAAGGGAATGACTTACTGGTGGCTTACTGGCCTTTAGGTCAGCCTTCAGAGGCATAAACTCTTCAGTCTTAATCTTGCCTCACTAATATGTGAGAAGTGTCATGCTCAAGTCATCTCGCTTGCTTTCCTTGTTTTCCTCACTTGTCATACAGGTAAAAATTAATTTCCACTTTTTTTTTGAAGATTACTTAATCTTTGCAAAGTACCTTAACATTACAAATGTTACATAATTGTTAAATACAGTTTGTTACTGAGTTTTTCAGAAACTACTGGCAGAAACATTTTCTTTTAATCTATGGCCATTTTTCCTCAGCGCTCCCCAGAATACACCAACTGTCAGTATCTATGCAAGCTCTGCTTAGTTCACATTGAAAATATCCAGGGAGCTCACAAGCATATTAAAGAAAAACGTCATAAGAAAAATATAATGGTAAGTTAACAAATATTTTCACTGGGTTTTTTTTTTTCTTTTTTTTCTTTTACATTTTTTTTTATGGTATATTTTCTTTGTTCATTGTAATTTACATGAAAGTTTGGGTGCTAAGCAGAGGTCCACAAATTTGTTGCTTGTTTTCTGTTTGAGAGGAAGGGCTTGATGATCTGTCCAGGCAGAGGAAGGAACAATTTTGGTCATTGCTCCTGAACTAGTGTCTCTGAGTAGGGGGTAGTTCATCATACCTTTAGCACCAGAATGCAAGGTAACTTGAGTGAGAAAACTATTTAGTTTTTCAGTTTCTTCCAAAAAGATTCTTGTTTGTACCAAGACCTCCAGGGACAGGAGGTGGATTGGGCATGTTTTTTTTCTGCTTTTTCTCTTTGTCTGGCCTGTGACATCCTTTCTGTGATGGGTAAGTAAAGGGAATGGTATGTCTAGACAAAAAAAAGTTTAAAGTAGAGAGGGATTCAGTTTATGAAGTCACTTACTGTCTCCCTGCATTTCTGTGTACTTTCAATATGAAAAACATTTCTAAGGCTTTCAAAGAGAAAAATAGTTTCCTTATCAGATACCACGGTGTTACTGTTTGCTTTGCTTTGAAGAATTGTTACATGCATAAAATCCAGCAAAATGGAGGTGTTTCAGGTCAGGTTGGATGAGGCTTTGTGCAGCCTGGTCTAGTGTGAGGTGTCCCTGCTTGTAGTCACCTGATGATCTTTAAGTTCCCTTCCAACCTTAACCATTCTATGAAAGTGTGCACGGATTTTTCTTGCCAACCCATTTTTGTAAATGTGGATGAAAAGTTATAAATTCCCAAGTATGTAGGGTTTTATGATTCAGCTGGTTAAAATTACTCTTCCTACAACCATTTCCCAAAATTCAGTCCATTACTCTTGTTGCCATGTATTTCTTACCCTGCTTCTGTTTGTAATTAATGCTCTAATTCTATCATATATGCAAGCCATCACCTGGAAAACTCCAAATGCCAGAAATCTGTTCCATCTCAGAAAATGAAATTGTTTTAGTATATTTAGTTATTATTTGTAAATTATTCTGGTTCTCTTGCTCTCTTGCTAAATTGCATAATGAAGGAAAAAAAAAGATAAAACAGCAACGAACCAGTCCTCTGTTTGATTTGGAAACACATGCATAGCATGCTTTTTATCTGAGCATAGAGATAAGAATTGAGGAATGAGGTTTCTTTACAACTGAATGGAAGTGCTAGAGGATTGGGAGCAGTTTTGGTTTTTAACACTTGTCTCCAAATAGCTTTATGTTGTGTGCCATGTTACAGTGATATTTACAGCTCCATGAGATGACTTCAGATAAGCTTAGCAGCAGCTGTAGCTTTCCCACTAAACCAGTGACATTAAAAAAATCTACAGCCCTTTAAATATGCACATATTTCTGATGATAAATTTGTTAAAATGAGAATGGAAGAGTTGAGAGATGCAACCTAGAACTAACCAAACATTTTCATACTGACTGTTTTCTTAGTGCATGATTGTTTTTTTGGTTAGTATTTATTTATGTTGTCAGTCACAGATTTCCTTGAGTTGATGGATTTGAGGAACAAGTGATTGTTGTACTTACTCCCAGATGACTTTGTACATCTGACGTATTTCTTGCTGATGGATTAAATTGATAATAATTTGATACGCTAAAAATAGAATTTTATGGCATCAGCTGTTTAGGCAGCAGTGGGACTTAACAAAGCTTCTTGGAGCTAGGAATGCTTTTTCTGCCTCTAATATGTTCCCTTCAGGTACAATCCACTCTGAAGAAATCTGCGTGACTCTAGAAAAACTTTCTCAGCTCAGTTACTTTTATTATGTAGGAACAATTGCAGCTTTTCATTTCCTTGGATGAATTCTGTTTCAGAGCAGTCAGAAAATGTGATTCAGGAATGTAACACAGGAGATTCTCTTCCTAGTTGCCAGCTGTGAAGCAACATGTTCTCTATTAAACACTGAACATCTCCTGCCATTTCTGTGAGCCACACATGAGTACATTTGCCAGTTAGGCTGGGCAGAGTTCCTGTCTTTTTAAGTGTTTGGTCAGGACACCACATAAACAGAAGAACACAGACAGCAAACAGTATGTTCTATTATCATGCAGTAGTAAGAGAGAACCCTTTTCTCTTAAAATACCTGTTTTTACTTTTGTCATTCAACAATTACTCAGGAAAAACAAGAAGAAAATGAGCTGCGTGCTCTCCCACCTCCCTCTCCTGCCCAGCTGGCTGCTCTGAGTTTTACTCTCCTTGAGGCAGCAAATGAACAAGGTATATCAGATGATGACTTCAGAGTTCGTCAAGAAATTGTAAACGAGATGGAGAAAATTATTCAACAGCCCTTGCCAGGTATTCATTGTATACTCCATTTTCTTGAGGTGAAATTTCTTCTTTGTCTTTATTAATTTGGGGTTAAATTATCTTTATAACATACAATATTAATATATGCAGACTGGCAATTGATTTTAAAAGAGCTAACAAACCTAAAGAAAGATGAAAATATGGTTGTGCTTATTTTTGCTTCTTTTTGATATATATTTATTGAAGCTATTGGTTCTTTTTAAAGTTATAATTCCAATGAAGATTGGAAATTTCCAGGGCATTAAATCCTTCCAGTACCTGTTCAAAGCCTCAGCCACTGAGGATCTCCCTCAGGCTCTAGTTCTATAAACCTTTCCACCTCTAACTTACCTAATATTACTGAATATCTCTGGCTTTTACAGTAGAATTTTTTTTCAAGTGTAATTAATTGAACTAATATAAGTATAGCGGGAAGGGGAAATCAGAAGGAGTTTGAAGTGTTTATTTTTTCCTACCAATTCTTCAGTTGCTTTTAGGAAAAAAAAAAAATAGACCTGAGCTATGAGTGATTTTGGTAAGCATATGAGGCATTTTCAGTTCTTAATTGTGATCTGATATATCTACAGGTACTAATCAGTAACTGGTCATTAAAAAAAAGTAATTAAAATCATAAAGGGTGATTGTTTACTTTTTTGTGTATATTTATGGTTAATGGATCCTAAAATGAGAAGAGGCATAGTTTGAGATCAACTATAGCTTTCCAAAGTCTCTGGAATTGTCTTAAATAGATCAAAATATTAAATGTGCTTAACCACATCTAAATGTTGTACCTCCTCTGCCTTTTTGTTTTGATGGAATGTTTTAGGTTGATTAAAAGGAATTGGCAACAAATAATTGCTACAATGAAATCAAGCTGTGGTTAAGAAAAGCTGTTAAATAAAATTCTACACTAAGGTAGTGACAGTTATTGCCATTTTATATTTAATTTTATATTAAGAACAAATAAAACTAAGGCTGCATTGCAAGAATACATTAAAACAGCTTGAAAAAATCTGGACATTTGGTGATTGCTGTTTGAATTATCCATTTTCTTGTTGATGCCATATTATGGAAATGACTAGCCTTGACAAGAGTGAGAAGGTGGTTCAATATTCCTTCATCTGGGAATACCACTTGGGAGGTAGGGTATCTCAAGGAAGGTATGCATTATCCATTAAAGAATAATTTATTTACCAGCTGTTAAATAATTATGTTTCTTTCTCTTCCAGACTGTTCACTGAGGATGTATGGCTCCTGTTTAACTAGATTTGCTTTTAAGACCAGCGATGTTAACATTGATATCAAATTCCCCCCTAAGGTGTGTAGATACTATCTTGTATTAACTAGTACAACTGGCTTGTATTAACAATCTTGTGCTAGTCTCTTTTTTTTTTTTTCTTTTTAATTTTTTGAGTAAGCTTTGAAGCAATATGAAAGGAGTTGGCTCTGGTTAATTGTGCTTATGGTTCAGACAACAAGATCTTGTAGGTCTTTATCCTCTCTTCTATCCCCTTTTAAAAGTGGGGGTAAAAGTTACAGTTTTCCTTTTATGTTTTAGTCACTTGCAAGTTGATTTCATATCTCAGTTTACAGTTTACTGTGGTACAGAATTCCTGAAAAGCAGTATAACTTCCCTGTAAACATTGAAGTTGTTGGTTCGTGTTTATGTGGCATTAGCAGCACATTCTTGTAAGAGGTACAACTGCTGAACTTGCTCTTTTTTTGACTCAATATATTACAGTGAAATTCAAGATACCTGTTTTGGGTACATAGCTGCACGTAGCATTTTGAAATGATACTGTTGCTACAAAGCAAAACTGAGCCCTTTTGCAAACATTTGCATGTAAATTGTAGTATGTCAGTTTTTCACTGAGGCTCAAAGGTGGTGCTGATTTTTAGCTTTTCTTTGAACTGTTCACTTGTTGTCTTTGAAACATCACTTAATTTGATTTCTGGGCAGAAAACACGTTTTAAAATTAAAACCCTAAAAGCCCTAGGGGTAGTACTGACATTAAATTCTGTACTGCTATGTATTTCTTGTGGCATATGTTGACATTGAAATTTTTGAATATAGTAGAAGTATTTTGTTTTAACTTTATGGACTGTGTTCATACAGAACTAGAACAGAAGTATTAACTGCGATAGCTTTAGACTACAAGAAAGATGGCTGATGTGTTTACCAGTACCTGTTTTTATGGTGTGGAAAGCTGGAGTTAACTTTTTCAATAATACTGACACATTTCACTTTTAGTGAAAGAACACAGTGTTACTAGTGGAACTTAAGTAGTTCTAAACAAAGTACAAAATAAAATAGGTTAGTCTGAATAACGTAGCCTGCTCTAATTTTGTCATTTTAGATGAGTCAACCAGATGTTCTGATACAGGTGCTTGAAATCCTGAAGAACAGTGGTGAGTTTTAGTTTTATCTTTTATTTAGTTAACATTCCAACTGCTGTTGAGTTGTTTTTATCATGGTATATATTAATAGTTTTAAAGACACAGTTGGGAACTGTAAAAGGCTTGCATTCATAATGTGTTTGTTTTTTTCTCCTTGCTTAGCTGTCTACTCAGATGTGGAGTCAGATTTCCATGCCAAAGTTCCTGTTGTCTTTTGCAAAGATGTTAAAAGGTATATGTAATTGAAAAGGATTTTTAATGAGATACCAATTTCTACTATACTTGTTGATACCAGCTGCTTGCCTGCACTCCTGACAAGAAGTACTACTGTAGCATTTAGTTAACATTTCATGTTGAAGGAGAATTGCTCATACATGAAAATACAATGTAGAAAGAAAGCTGAGCTTTGTTTTTGTGCCTCATATTGTTAATTAATGGTAGGAGTCTGAAAATACAAGTTCTACTTTTAGTTAAATAGGGGAAAAGTGGAATGGTTTTCAGTTGATACTTAAAATTTCTGCTAGCAATTTAATCCAGGACTTTAAAAATATTTTGTGAGATGCACATTACCAGTAAGGACACATCATCTGGCACTTCCAGTAAATTCCTAAGCAGTTGTAACCTCTAAAACATGGTTGCTGTATGATGTCCACATTGTTTTGACTGGCTAGAGGTATGTGATTGAAGCTCTAATAAAGGCAGCAAAGGCAGGCATCTATTTTCCTGTGTTATATAGATTATGCAAATGCCTTCTAGGTACTAAGACAATAGAAATTATTATTCTGAGAAGCAAACAAAAAGGTTTTACAGCAGCTGTTTTGTGAACTTACCAACTCTTAAAATGCTGCAGGCCTGGTGGTTTTATTTATTTACTTGGAATGTAGAAGAGGTGCATAGAGTTGTGTTAAGATTGCACAATTAAGTAATGGCAGACTTAGAGCAAATTTTTAATGCTGTTTTATTTTTTTAGTTATTATAAACTTCTGCAAGTTCTAGAGCCAACTGATGAGTTAATAGTAAAGAAAATGTGATTCCATTCTGTAGCTTTTGTTTGAAAAGTTCTAGTTCTTGCCTAGGGAGACAATGATGAATGTTTTTATCAGTGAATGTGATGCCCCATCTCTCTCCTGCCCCAGGTACCATCTGTGTGCACAAGGTGATAACTCTTTTTATCTGTTTTATGTTACAGTGGTTTGATATGTAAAGTAAGTGCTAGAAATGATATGGCTTGCCTTACAACTGACCTGCTGGCTGCACTGGGTAAACTGGAGCCTGTCCTTATTCCCTTGGTTTTGGCTTTCCGCTACTGGGCTAGAGTAAGTTGGTAGATATAGAGGATAATTAAATATGTTTATTTGCTCTTTTTAATTAGACTACAATGTAATGTATACAATAATGCATGCAATGTAATATATAAATATACCACAAATATGTTTGTGGAAAAGCACTTCATGCCACAAGTTTACCTCTTACCTTAGCAAGCTAGAATAAAACTGATCCTTGGAAACCACCTCAAAGGAGCAATTAGGTCTTTCAAACATTCTGCTGTTGAGGTCACGTTAAAACTCACATTGAGTTAACTTGCTCAAAAAAATCTGTCATCATACCCTGCTGTATGTCTTACAGGCATCAACAGTGATCACAGGAACCGATTTATAATGTTCACAGACGGTGTTTAACTGTCTTGTCATTCAGTCCTGAAATTGCTGTTAGGCCCTGCTTGACTTACAATGCCTTGGCTTTATTGAAAAATCTGCACATGAGATATTGCACAGTAACAAAAACCTGATGGCTGAAATTCTAGATAGGAACAGACATGTGTCCCACAATCACACAATGTGATGAAACTGAAGATAATAACAAAGTAGTATCACTTAAGGCACTGTACAAATCACTATAATTTGCATTTTGTCTGTACATGGTATGGCATTGTGACTGCTATTTCTGAGGTAAAGGATTTTCTGTTTCACTTTAGTATATTTCTCACACTTCCTTAATATTTAGCCTATTACAGTAGATTTTAAATTAAAATGCTGGTATTACATCAGAAGAGTAATGATTTATTCTCTTACAGCTCTGCCACATTGACTGTCAGGCTGAAGGTGGGATTCCATCGTATTCCTTTGCCTTAATGGTGATATTTTTTCTTCAACAAAGGAAACCACGTATTTTACCATCCTATTTGGGCAACTGGGTAAATGCTTTGCTAATAAGTAACCTTATTGTTAGAATGTTGACAGTATTTCTGTGTTTTGCAAGGTTATAAAATACACAGATTTTTCTTTTTTTGCCTAAGAAATTTGTAAATAAAATGCATTGGTACCTAATCCTCACGCAGTTTGATGCCTGATGATCCTGATGACTTTTTTAAACAAGTCACCTGTGAAAATATTTTTTAAATAGCCTGTGCAATTGTCATGCTGTATTTTGGAGAGAAGGCAAATATTTTCTTTAATTTTCTGAATTCATTTATCTGCTATCAGTTATTCTTGAGGGGGATAAATACCACAATTGTCAGTGACAACCTTTACCTTTGGTGAAAACCTTTGGTTGTATTATATGCAGTCTTGTTTCAGAGTTACTTTACTTTTTGTTAGATTGAAGGCTTTGATTCCAAGAGGCCAGATGACCACCAGCTGAAAGGTATAGAAGAGGAGTTTGTGCGGTGGGAGTACAAACCACCAGCAAATGGTGCAGCAAAAAACTCCGTTGGAACAGAAAGTAAAGCTAAAGTTGAACAACCAAAAGGTGGTGGTAAAAAGGTAACAAGCTCAGAAGTGGACAACCAAAGTAATGCAAAGGAGAAACATGGCAATGTAAGTCATATCTTTATTTCATTGAAAACTGTAATTACCTTTTATTCCTGTTTTTGTATCTGTAAACATTAATATTGGATGGAACTAGGAAAAGAATGGGAATATTCTTTTCTGATTGCAGTTGAGCATTCTTGTCCATGTGTTTCAGTCTCTCTTAGCATTCAAAACCCCTCACCAAGTTTCACTGGGGCAACTGTGGTTAGAACTCTTGAAGTTTTACACACTGGAATTTGCTTTGGAGGAGTATGTCATCAGCATACGGGTACAGGAGCTCTTAACCAGAGAGAATAAAAACTGGCCTAAAAGGCGAATAGCCATCGAAGGTAGGATAATACCCCTTTCCACTTCTGTAGTCATCCTGCATTATTATCTTTATTTACCTAATACTTAGAGGTCTGTCACAAGAAGTCTGAACAATAAACTACATCAATAATGGGAGGAAAAATTTAACTGGTATATTTTTGAGAGCTGTTTAATCTGTTTAAAGACAACATCTGTTTAGTACTACTTTACGATTCTGGTCCCTGAGGTACAAAGTGTAAATTTGTCTCACTGTTTCCTACCAATCATCCATACCACTCTCTGTTTCATTCTTTCTATAAGCTATTATTTATTCCTTTTGAATAATTCTGATATTATGGATTTTCAGCACCTTGCTGCATTTCCAAAAAACACAATGTATTTTGACTGTTACCAGCTATCAGTTTGTTTCCTCTGACTCTGATGCCAACTGGGCAGAGAGATTAGCTCTGATCAGAGGGAACTGGAGCCAAACTCATCAGATTAACCCCCACACAGAGAGCACCTTCCATTGGAAATCCTACCAACAGGGAAAGGGACGTACTGTGAAACTGAGTGGCATGTCACAGGCTGTGCTTCACGGCCTGAATCTCCTGCTAAGGGAAGTGCTTTTTTCAGGGAGTGAGACTGTGTGAATTTAATGATACCCTGAGTTATATATGTTGGGGAGAGAAAGATGGAGAGGAATTTTGTCTGTTAGTTCTTTATAACTGGAAGATATTTTTATTTCTGTTCCTCAACTCAGAAAGAGACGTAAACAGTGCTTAAGAGGGAAATTCACATAGCAATGCAGGGCATTCTGAATTGGACTTAAAAACTGAGAAACCGGGTATTGGTGGAAGGTTAGAAAGCCATTTAAGGTGTTGTTTTTATTAAAGCATAAATAATGAATTTTGGACACTTTCTAGAGATGTTTTCTGTAACAGGTGAGGTGATGGAGAGGAGAAGGAGAAATCATAGAGAAAGTTACTGAAGGTATATTGAAGGAGAAGTTAGTGAGGTACAAAAAGAGCAAGAAGGAAGAGTAAACAGTAGACAAGCAGTGAATTTTTGAGGCACATGTTGAGTAGTGAGTCTTGAGACCACTCCCGTGGCTTTAATTTCCCCTTCCAGTTCTTTTCTTCAATAACTTTTGGCTAGAGAGTTTTAAAACTAGAATAGTGTTTATTCAGCATGCAGAAAAATAAAATCTGTAAGGTGAAAGGGCAAAATATTGAGGAAGAAACAGGAAATAATTTCAAAAAACAGATTGCATTCTGGTTCTGATACCTGCTATTGTTGGTCTTTTTGTGTTGTTTTTGTTCATTTTATTTTTTTTAATGTTAAATTTGTAACTGAAATTATGAAGTAACAGAGTCTCAGTTTGATACTATCTTCCCAGGCAAACTTATAGCAACTATGCAAGTTCTCTTTGTACTTGGAAAACATATTTGATCTAGAAATCACTAGGAAGGACTAAGAATGAAACATGGTGAGATTGGTTCATATAATCCTTTCAACCTTAATTTTACTCTTGGAGAAACTGATTTCTTAGGGGAAATGTAAATCCTTCTTCAGTGAAGGAAGAAAGTTCAGGCAGGCCTACATTTGGTTTGCCTTTGTATGTTTATTTTAATTTTTAGTTTAAAAATTGACCATAATGTAAGGGTACAATATACTTATGTTTTTCTTTTTAAATAACACTATTTAGAACAGTTTATGATAGCCAACCATTCATGGCCACATGTGTGTTGTATTTTGTATGGAAGAAGTCCAAAAACCCTTGTGGGCCCTATGTTCTCAAAGTACATCCAAATACAATTCTGGATCTTATAAGGATCTTTTTTTTAACTGCTGTATCATAGCATAAGTATTTAACCTTCCTTAGTGAAATGTAGAAACTAAAGATTACTAAAGAAATTGTTCTTTTTCTTCCTAGATCCTTTTGCACTAAAGAGGAATGTTGCACGAAGTCTAAATAGCCAGATGGTATTTGAGTACATCCTGGAGCGATTTAGGACAGCGTATAAATATTTTGCATGTCCACAAAGTAAAGATGGGATTAAATCCAAGCCAGATACCAAGAAAAAAGAAAAAGGGAAAATGAATAATAAGAAGTCCTCGAGATCTGAAGAGCCTGTAGCCAACTGTTGCCTTCCACAAGGGGAAAAAGTTGTAGATAAACAAAATATAGGAAGTGGATGTAACATACCAGAGAATGAACTTGAATGTAATGAAGTGGTAGAAGCTGTAGCCAAAAGAGGTACTTCAAAGAACATGGACTCTTTGCTACTTTCAACATTGGACTCTAGTTGCGATGAAGACAAAGAAGAAGCTTTATCCCTTATTTCTAATGAATGCTGTGAATTAAAGCAAAAATCACTTAATGAGAGGGATGATTTAGAGATTTCAGTTTGTATAACTGAAGGTGAGCTAAGCCCCCACTGCAACTGCAGTGAACATCAGCCCTGCGAAACAAATTCTAGTAATGAATTTTCTGATGCTGAAAGTAGACAGAGTTTGGTAACAGAGTCTTCTCAGAAGAGTAAGTGCACTGGCACACCAGCTACCTCGCCCAACTGCAAAGCAATGGTGGAAGCTCATGATCTCAAAGACGAAGGCAAACTCTCTACAGAAGAAATGCATTATGTGTTTGATAAATTTATTTTGACTTCAGGAAAGGTATGCTGTGCATGTGCTGGTCATGTATCAATGGGCTATTGCTTTTGAATCACTAAAACTAAGGGTGGATAGATGACAGGATTCTCCCAGGGTTTGTTTCAGTCTCTGTTATGCATGGTAGCTCTACCCTTCGTAGAGTACCTGTTGTTCAGGACTGGAAAACACCAAACGTATGCCATTTGGATGAGATGGTCTGTTGCCCCCATCTTAGGCAGAGATTTCTGATTTCCACAAAAACAAAAAAAATCCTAGGTTTTGTTTTCTGGTTGGTTTGTGGGTTTCCCCCCCCCTTCCTCTTCTGCTTTCTTGTAGCATTTCCAGGTGCTTTTATGCACTGTGAGAACTAAATGCAGCCCGTGGAGAGATGATGTTCTGCTGTTTGTAGAAACTCTCCTCCTGTTCAGCTGTGAAGTGTTCTTGGTTGCATGATTCAGATGGAATTGTTATGTCTGTTGAAGTATCTTAAAGTAAAATTGCATTTGTGCACTTATTTCTTTGTCCCAAAGCCACCAACTATAGTATGCAGCATCTGCAAACGGGATGGACATTCCAAAAATGACTGCCCAGAGGATTTCAAGAAAATTGATCTAAAACCACTACCGCCAATGACAGACAGATTTCGGGAAATACTTGATATAGTGTGTAAAAGGTGTTTTGGTAAGTTTGAAAAATGTTTGTACTCCACTGTAAACTGTGACCTGCAGTCTGGAAAAAGTCATAACTTCAGGACTAAATTAGTTATTCCAGTATTCAGTGGAAAGAAGTTCTTCCAGGTACCCTGGGCTACAAATTCACCACTGTTTTTATTTTAATATAACCCATGCTTGTGATATCAAATGCTTATAACAGATTTGAGAAACTAATCCTATACAGGATTTTTCACTGGGTTTGTAGGAAGTTAACTAGTACTCCCAGAAAATAGGTTCTGGGAAAAACTAGTTTTAGTGTTTGTTGAATTCTGTGGCTTCTTTTGGAAAAGCCTCTTTTGGGTGCTATGATGGGTTAACCTTGGCTGGACACCAGGTGTCCACCAAGCTGCTCTGTGTTTGAAAATGCTAGCAACTGTAATGATATTAAAACCCACATATTCAAGGAAAGTAAATACATTTAAAAAAAAAAAAAGGTATCCAGTATTTTTAATAAGCTGAGAGAGATTTTTTTGAGGTAGCTGTATGTCACATCTGACTCTGTTTTGACTTGTTTTTACTTAGATGAATTGTCCCCTCCTTTGTCTGAGCAACAAAACAGAGAACAAATTCTGGCAAGTTTGGAAAGATTTATTCGAAAAGAATATAATGGTATGTAACAGTAGGTAGTGATTCTTAGTAATGCTTTCTTCCTTCATGTTGTTTAGAGCATGAAGATGTAATTTGTCTCATTATTGCTCATTTTACTTGCTTAAAGCAGTGGCATTTCTTTTCCCTCTGTATGTAAAGCTATCTTGCAGACTTCTGAGCAGAATATCTCTCAGTGCTGTTCCATGGAAATGTCCCTTGAGTAGAGAAATAGCTGCAAGAGTAATAATGCAGATAAAAGACTGCTGCAGTCAGGACAAAAAGAAAGTTTGAATAGACCCTGGCCAGTTTGGTTTAGTGTTACCTGGGTCATGGGCCAAGTACTTTTGTTGCCTGGTCACCAGTGTTCAAGTATCTTAGAAATCTTAATGAGTTTGTTATCCTCACATGGCTTTTATAAAATAGGCAAAAGTATCTTACTAGAATGGTGGAGATCAAGGCAAAGAGGTGCAAAGTGATTCTTTTTGTAGGTGGTGTAGACCAGTGCTAGAGGCAGGTACCAAACCCAGGGTTCCTGAATTCCAGGCCATTGCCTTACACAGCAGGCCATCCATTCTGCTGTAGCTGGCCAGTGATCAAGGAACTGGGAATTACACTTCCATCCACCAGCTGTGTCCTCCACTTACTAGCGGCTGAGGACTGAGACCTGTTGCAGAACCTTGAAAGACTTAGAGTTTCCAATTCTATTAAACGATAGGAAAAAGCTGTGAATAGGGGGTAGGTATATTTTCCTAGTATTGATTTCTGTTGAACAGATAAATATGTTATTTTCAGTTAGGAAGGAATTGCTTCCTCTCAGTTGCATAGTTTTGCTTTCCTTTACAAGAATGAAAACAATATTGTGTTTCAAACAGAAATGTAAACAAAACCAATTGAGAAAGAATGTTCCATAAAGTATATTAATCTTATCACTTGTATCTTCTTGAACAGTATGTTACGGTTACAGAAACTTACTGATGGACCAAATTTAACTAGTCATGGGAATAATAGGCAACCTGGATAAAGTATGAGTGGAATCAGAAATATTGCTTTACCTCCCTTTAGAGTAGCTCTGTCTTATCTGTGGATTAAAGCTGTAGTGGTGACTGGGTTTGCACATGATTTTGGTTTATTTAAAATAGGAAAGTGCAGTCGCATACCACAAAACATTCCAACCACATTTAGGGATGCCATTTTGTTGTTATAGTAACTCTGTAACATACCTCGCTCACACAAATTACATGGGCCTTATCCTGCTGTACTTTCTAGAAAGAATTTTTAAAGTATTGTGCATCCTTCTTTATCAGAGGTCAAGTCCTAGGAGTGCCATTGTGTGTTCTCTCTTAAAACTCCTCCATTATGGGCACCTACATATCTCAGTTAAGCAATATTCCATAGTAAGCACATTACTATTCAGCTGTAAAACAATTTATCTTTTTCTGGTCTACTCTTTTGATCAGACAAAGCCAGACTTTGCTTGTTTGGCTCTTCAAAGAATGGATTTGGGTTTCGGGACAGTGATCTAGATATCTGCATGACGTTAGAAGGCCATGAAAATGCAGAGGTAAGAGTTTTGAAATGGATCTAATTTACTATTTCAAATTCAAGAAATATTTAAATTTTTTTCAGTTTGGTTAAGTGCACAAAAAAGGTTGGATTTTGCTGGTGGCACATTGGCTTGTTGTGCTCTGCATAGATACAGCCTATATTAATGCCTTATAGACACTTTTAGTATACTGTAGATGTCTACATAGAGAGTACCAGTCACCAGTTCACAGAAATTCATCTGTTGGCTTTATTACTTTTTTTTATGTAGACTTTTCCCCTATGAAATCTATGAAAATATATTGTAAATGTGCTTGTTGGGGTAGGATCCGTGTTTTAACATCTGAAGTTGTGATATTTGTTTTTCCTAGAAATTAAACTGTAAAGAAATAATAGAAGGTTTGGCAAAAGTTCTTAAGAAGCATCCAGGTAGGTGTTTTAAAGTATTAATTGCTTTATATTTACATTTGCTATATGTGTAGTTAATGGAAATGTTTTATGTACTAAAGTGTTGCTTCCCCAGGTTTGAGAAACATCTTGCCTATAACAACAGCCAAAGTGCCTATAGTGAAGTTTGAACACAGACGGAGTGGATTAGAAGGAGATATCAGTTTATACAACACACTGGTAAGCATCTCTTTGTGTTGAGTTTTGTGTCCTAAGAAAGCTTTTTAATTCATTGTAACTCAATTATTTGAGGAAATAATTTTGAAACCAGAATTAAAATGCTTTTGTGTGTTTGGGTTGTTTTCTTTCTACGTTATTAAAGTTCAGTGGCCCACACACTCAGCCCAGCCTAAGTAGCTGTGTAACCTGATGGCAGAGCAGTGTCATGGGACACAAAGCATTTTTGTAAATGTTCCTGAAATGCTGTTGGTGCCACGTGCACTGTGGCCTCCCTGCCATCATGAGTAGTGCATCTCATTCCAGCACAACAAAATTGCATGTTTTCCTATGTAATGAGCTCACATTCACTTGTGAAGAGGATGCAGTTTGTGGAATTTGTTCCAGTGTGAGTCATCTTACTGACATACTTCTTTGCAGGTATTTTCCAAGCTTCTTATTATTACTGTGTTAATACTGTCCTGATTATACCTTTTACTTATGTTTTGCAGGAAGTGTTGCATTTATTTTACAGAATAGGATTCTGATTTTTTTTGCCCTCCAATTGTGTTATCTCCTGTGTTTGAACTGCAGACTATACTTACAGTTAACAATTAATTATGTTGAAACAGCAGTTTGATATTTTTTTCCCCTTTTCCCAGGCACAGCACAACACAAGAATGCTGGCTACATATGCAGCTATTGATCCTAGAGTGCAATATCTGGGCTATACAATGAAAGTTTTTGCAAAGGTAATACAAAAAGAAAGTGCTTATTTGTATAACACAGTGTTTTCTGGTACAGCCACTGAGTTTAGGTTTTGCTAATACCAACTGATTATCAAAACCATATATTATAATGTTTATTCAAGCTACACTATTAAATACACTCCCCAAACACATCCAAAGAAAGCTTAGTGAAACTGGAACAAATAAGAAATGAGTTACAGAGAGTGTATATCATGCTACCAGATGATAATGCAATAAAATGTATGAAGATGAAAATAACTTTGTTCCAGAATGGAATGGGCATGTTCATTATACTGTCACCAAGACTAGTAATGACTTACTTGTTTGGTGTGCGGTCACAGTAGTGCAGAATTTTGCCGTGTCTCTTCTGTGTCCAGATTAGAAATGTCTTGTGTTGATAATAATGAATCTTATTTTTTGGGGGGTAGTATTGCATACTATTGTATACATCCTAGAAATTGTTCTGTAAAGACCAGCTTTCTAAGTTCTGGGAGGTACACTCTTGAATGTTTATGAGTGGAGGTGACTTCATAGCAACACAAATACTCTGTGTTTAGGCAAGATGCTTCCTTCTCTGCATTGATAGCAAAACTGGGAGCAGCTGTCACTGCTGCTGCTAATGTGGAAGTAATTTGTGAATTGCTATTTTTTTCCAGACCTAGGAGCTTAAAAATGTGTTGTTATGACACAGGCTTGAAGCAAAGTGTATTTTAGAAGCAGCTGCTGTAGAAATCTTATACTGTACTAAGATTTTCAAGCATAGTAAGGTAATTCACTGATGTTTGTTTCATGCTGTGTTGTGCAGGCTGGGCTATGGTTTAATTAGGTATGTGTATGTATGCTCGCAAAATGCCAGGTATTGCCTAAGTTGTCAGTATGACATGGAAATACTTGCCTATTAATTAATTATTATTTTTTAAAAAGGAGGGAACCAAAAAAAAAAGAAACAGCTCTGTTAACATTAGTTGAGGTAAATTAAATTTTACGATATTGAAACCTAGGCTTCAGATGTTGGAGTTGTTCTGGGATTTCTGGTTTGAGGAATTTTGGTTTGTTTTTTTTCTTGTTTTGTTGCTTGTTTTTTTTTCAATTTAGCACCTTGTAAACTAAAAAAAATCCAAACATTTGTCTATGAGAAGCTTTCCTGTTTCTGTGTTAGTCAGAATATACTCTGGATTTGCCAGATGGCACTTGACTCCGAAGACGTTTATTTTTCAGGCTCCATAAAAATATTTAATTCTGAGATGAATGTGTTTTCTGTTGCTGGTGGGGTTTCTGTTTGCTCTCTGACATAGCTTTTAGTCTTGAATGATAAAATGTAAGTTCAGTGTTTTGTTTAAAATGTGTTTTTCAGCGCTGCGATATTGGAGACGCGTCCCGTGGCAGTCTGTCCTCCTATGCCTATATTCTTATGGTTTTATACTTCCTCCAGCAGAGAAATCCACCAGTTATTCCAGTTCTTCAGGAGGTAGGTTTTCAGAAAAAGAGGCTACAAAAGTTGATGCACTGTGTCTTCAAGCCAAGTGTGAGAAACCTGGGCTTTTAGGGTTGGGGATCTGAATGAATTATGTGGCCCTCCTGCATTAGCAGAATCCTAATGCTTGCTTGGTGGTAATGGGTAAAACCTATCAAAAAATTACAACAAAATCAGCAATCTGTTGGACCTAAGTCCTGCTGTTACATTTACTTTGGGATTTTGGTCTTGAGATGATATTTATATGCTTAACAGATAGGGAAAAAAAGTGGCTGGTGTCATGGAGAGAAGGCAATTGTAATGATGAGACTGTGCCAGATGCTCTTGAGATGCAAGTCCAGCTTTTCCATCAGTTGTTGTCAGAAGTATGATTCATTGCTCAACACCTTATCTGCAAGAAAAAAAGTTGATTTGCTGAGAGGGAAAAAAAGATACAACTTTGGTACAACTTTAAATATACTATTTTACATGTGCCAGGAAACTTTTTTAAGAGAGTAACATTCTGTACGACCATTGCATGGGTGTGGAGAATATAATTAGTCAGCTGTCTGCCTCTTCCTGAATACACTCTGAAACTCCCAAGTACTTCTGAAAATTATCCCTTTCTGACTTTCTTGTTGCATGCTTGCAAGAGGAAAATTGGCTTAAGCACTGCAGTTGAGACTCGGACTTTCTTGCTGATACTTAAATAGTTTTTGGAGGTTGTTATTTTATTGCTACCCTGAGAGTGCATTTAAATAATAGTGGAATTTCCCCTTGGCTTTGCTAAAGTCAGAATGCAATAAGAGTCATAAAGTCTCCTTAGAGATTTTGTGGGCAGGAGAGATGTTGGAATCTTGATGAGGTAATTCAGTCATGTTTTCTTAGTTGCAAAGAACAAGTGAAAATAACGTATCCAAACAATTTGATAGAGGCATAGCAATAATGCAGAAAGATTTTCAGACTTTGTACCAGTGGGAAATCCTGCCTATATAAGAAGTAATTGTTAAAATTAAATTGGTTTTATTTTTGTATTATTTCTTATTAACAAAACTGCAAGTCTTTTGTGGTGACATTGAATTAGAGTGGTAACTGTGTCCCTCTCTATTTTGGCAGATATTTGATGGAAAACAGATTCCACAAAGAATGGTGGATGGGTGGAATGCCTTTTTCTTTGATGACATGGAAGAATTGGTAATATTCTAATTCCAGAAGAGTCATTAAAACTTGGGGTTTTTTTTATGGGAAAGTAGTAGAATCATAGAATGGTTAAGGTTGGAAGGGACCTTAAAGATCATCAGGTTCCAACCTCCATGCTATGAGCAGGGTCATCTCACACTACACCTTTTCTAACAGTGTAAAGTGTGAAAGGGTAGTTAAATTTCCATATCCATATTATTTTAACTTCCCAAATGAATCCTGTTTTGCCAAAATGTATGTCTGCATTTTTCTTGGTTTATTTTAAATCATTCCTAAATAACATATATCAGGAAACACACCTTTTACTCTTGATAAACAGTCCATGATTGAGTTAACTGTAGTGATAAAACCCAAGTGTAACTGTTCATGGTAGACAAACCCCTAATGAGAGAGAGGTAGCTCAGGAGAAGTGCTTCACTAACTTTAGCTGAACAAGCTTCATCTTCAATTGCATGCAGAAGAAACGTCTTCCTTCTCTTGGGAAGAACACTGAGTCACTTGGAGAGCTCTGGCTAGGCTTGCTGCGATTCTACACTGAAGAGTTTGACTTCAAGGAGTATGTGATCAGCATCCGGCAGAAGAAGCTGTTAACAACCTTTGAGAAACAGTGGACATCCAAATGTATTGCCATTGAAGGTACTTCTGTGCTGAATTTCTGTTCCACTGATGAGGGAGTGATGAACACTGTTGCTTGAGGATCTGTTCTCCTTGTTCCTCTCTATGTGAGGAAACTATCACCAGTGTTTAAAAAAAGCATTGCTTGCAAGTCCTACAGCTTACAAAATAAGATTAGACTCCTGACATCCTAGTTAATTACTCTTACTTTATTATGGTTCATCACATTTTTAAAACACTCAGGACTGCTTTGTTACCATCTGCTCTGTGAGTGCATTTGAAATTGAATTCTCTGTTAAAAAAGTAAAATTGATGCATCATATTTTTTCCAGCTCTGATTTGCTTTTCTTCCTCTTTTACACAGATCCTTTCGACTTGAATCATAATCTTGGTGCTGGAGTCTCTAGGAAAAGTAAGCTGTTCATATCTACTAATTATTAACATTCACTGAATTCTGAAGCGTTGTGCCTTTTCTGTTGTTTTCCAATAACTTTGTCTTTCTTCGATAGTGACCAATTTCATAATGAAGGCGTTTATCAATGGGAGAAAATTATTTGGTACCCCATTCTACCCAACTGTTGGAAGAGAAGCTGTAAGTTTTCATAGTTTTAGCATGGTTTTCACTTATCTTCATCCACTGAATTGATGCATCCAAATAAAGTATCTTGCATGTATTCATCAGTTTGATGTGCACAATGTATGTAATTATACATCATCTGTGTAAAACATACAGCTTAGTGTTGGGCTCCTGCTATACACAATTCAAAGGAGTAGTTGGGTGGGTAACAGGTATTTTTGGCAGGTTTGGGGGAAGTAAACTTGTTTTAGTTTTTGTAGAACTTTTCATTGTGTGACATTAAGTATTGCAGAGAAGTGCAATATTGGCTGTAAAACCCAGAAATAGCTTTTAGAACTTTCCTAGCTATCCATGTAGCTAAAGAAAACAGACTTTTAGATGTTAGATTTTGCTTATTTTCACAGTTGATGGGGAAAGTAAGGATTGCTGCTTAAGGAAGGGAAAGGATTATGATCAGCTATTTCTTTTTATCAGTTAACATTTATCAAATTTGCAGTGAGTCAGGGTCAGGAATGTGTTCATGCAACATCATATCAGAGAAGGTGCTCCTCTGTTCTACAGGGTCCAATCATCAGAACTGTTTTGTTTGGTTTTTTTTAATATGAACAAACAAAATCAGCTGCAATTAATACTTTTAACACCTATTTAGAAATGAGTTTTTTAAGACAGTTTAGAGGACTGTTGTCCCAATGGATTTCAACAGGGTTTGTGTTACTGAGGTTTTGAAAAGCTTTTTACTTCCCCATATGCTTCGCTGTCTCCTATTTTCCACTTGCTTACTTTGTGCTTTTTCTGAGTTTTTATGAAGTGTGTTTTTGGTGCAGTGACAGTGCTCTGTGTTGTACTATGCCTAGTAAAATTGGACCTATTTTTACTGGGGCCTTTGAATACTGTGATACAAATAGTAATGAATTACAGTGTGGATGTAGTTACCTGTAACTAACAAATATGTGAGCATATGTAGTAACTATTGCTAGTTAAGGTTGGGGTTTTTTATTGTTTGCATACATGTTCAACACAAGGCTATAGTGCTTCTGGCAAGCATATACTTTGTGTTTGTGCATGTGGTAGGTTGGGTTGTTCTGCCTCATCCCAGATTTTCCCTGAATACTTTATGTAAGGATAAGAGGCAAGGCAGCCTTAGCATGCAAATGAGCTGCCTCTTATGTGAAGGAAGTAATGCCACTAGGATTACATAGCATTTTAATTGTCCAGAATGTTTAACGAAGAGAAGAGTTCTCAATCTTCTTCCTAAGCCAGTGCCCTGTTATTGCAGCTTGGTGGTACAGAGAGGAAGCTGAAGCAAAAAACAGGTTGAGTAAATGACTTGTCTACAGCAGGGCTTTGCTCCTGATCTGGGGTTAGAACATTTCTATTTGTGCCTCTCTTTCAGCCTTTCAGGCAAGATGTTTTATGTTGCTCAGAGGCTGTACATGGTGGCCTTTGCACTGACACATCAGAACTGCAGCTCTCCTTAGCAAATTCCAGGGGAAGAGGTCAGTGTGCAGATGCTCCATCTGCTTCCCACCTGAGCTTTGTTCTGTCTAGGTTGATATAATCAGGTCATTGGGGAAGGGACATAGGCTGCTTTGGAAAGAATACAAGCAGTGACTCAGACACCAAAATAGATCACAGACAGGAAGTTTCCCTCTGAAGAGCCTTTGGTGAAATGTAAGGTGGGCAGGAGACTGGAGCATAGATGAGCTGTTCTGCAAATTCAGTTTCTGGCCCTGAGACTAAATACCCCTTTCTAGCCCAGATTGCTCCACATCTCTGAAGAAGCTGCCATTATCTAGAGGAAGAAGAGGACAAGGTGTCATCTAAGAAGGAGTAAAATTTAAGGAACAATAGGAGATGTCAGGTGTCCGTTTGGCTTTTATTTCTCAGTCTTGTAAGTGATTGGCTTACATATTGCATCTGTCTGATGTGTTTTGATAGGAATACTTTTTTGACTCCAAAGTGCTGACAGATGGAGAATTGGCACCCAATGACAGATGTTGTCGTGTTTGTGGAAAAATTGGTCACTACATGAAAGACTGTCCGAAGAGGAGGAGGTAAGTAGCATACAAAGCTAATGTGAAGTCTCAGAGATGAAGTCAGGAGAGACTTGGATATTTGAAGTTTTAATGAAAATTAGGAATATGCTGGATTGCAGATAAAATCAAAGCTTTCTATCTAATCCTCAACTTCACATCTTATTTTTGCTTTCTTAATGCTTTTTCTGGTCATCTTTTTAACACACAGCAGAAAATCAACAGTCTATTGTATGTTGATTCTTTTTGTTCATTATCTGTCTGTAGTTACAGCTTACCTTAAAATTTAGATCACTAGATTATCTTTTTATAGTGTAAACATTCAGATGGAGACCACTTCACCTGACTGTACAATTCTAAAGTATTAAAATGTATTTCCTGTAGTGATCATGTTCAGAAGATAGTGTTGAATTTGAATTGTTTGCTAGATCTGATAATGTGCCTCTGCAAGGCAGGTAAAATTAATTTATTAAAATCTAGGAGTACAAAATGTACATTGTCATGCTTCATTTCTGTAACATCATACTAATGGTAGTCACTTAGTGATCTTGCACTTGTACATTAAATGCACTTAGAGAATTTTGGATCCAGCAGTCCTGCAGAACGAGTCCCTAGTACATGCAGGTCAACATCTCCAAAGAGAGTTTAGCAGGAACTGACAGAGAATGTGCACTCCTCACCTACTCTGTGTCACGTTTTTAAATAATTGGATTTTTAATGACCCATTCAGTGTATGTTGTTTGAGTCCTCCTAAAGCCTGTTGAAACCCATAGAATGTAGATTAAAGTCTGGGCTTTTGAATTTACATTTTACATTCATTTTTGTGCTCCATAGTTCTTCAAATACTATTGGTCTCTTCCTGGTACAAAGTCCTTATTTACAGCTTTTTGTTGGGTCAGCAGAGTTCAGGATATATGAAACTTGACTAGAACCAGAGGGTCACAGGTTGACTCTTTCAGCCACTCACTTGACACACTCCTCGCAAGCACTAGCACACTGAATTGCATCCCCTCTTTCCCAACATCTGGCTCAGGAAAAGAAGTTTTAATCTACTCTTCATAGAAACTGCTACTGCAGCACAGCCACACAGACTCTCCCTCCAATTGTATATACAGCTCACAAAATAGTATTAATATTTAACAATCCTACAGATACATGGAAAAAGATCTTTATTTCTTGTCTTGGTTTCTGATCACTAGCTCTTTTCCTGTTTGTTTTATTAGTGCTGAGTGTTTGAAAGAGCCTTAGTACTTTCTTTCACATTGTGTCTAGGCTCAGGATGATAATACAGTCTCATATATACACCATCTCCAGATAAGATACAGCTAATTTGTTTTGTGTCTTTTCAGTCTTGGAGAGGTTGTTGCATAGAACTACTCCCAAATTAACTGGCAGACTAGGCCTTCTTAACTGCAGGTATAGCTCTGCACTAACACAGTCAGATAGCTTCTGGAAAATTCTGGGGAGCTTCTAAGTTTGTTAAGTTTATACAAACAGGTTGTTAACCAGCCCAAATTCTGGTAGTGTTTTTCTGGGATTCTGAAGATATTTATTTGTATTCAAGTAAAGCTGCTGGTAATGTAACCATAACCTTTGAATCTATCAATCTAATAGCTCTGCAGAGATAATTTTTTGGTGGCTTTTAAATTGCTAATAAAAATTATTATTCAGGTTGAAGAAAAAGGAGAATGAGAAAGATGATGAAAAGGAAGTGAAAGAAGAAGACAGAGAAACAAGAGAGAAAAGGTGTTTCATCTGTGGAGATGTGGGTCATGTTAGAAGAGATTGTCCTGAATTCAAACAAACCCGTCAGAGAAATAATAACGTGCCAGGTAAGTCAGTTTATATGTTTGAGTGTAATTTGAAAGTTCTGAGATAACTTCTCTCTAGGTTTCCATACAGGCCTGGTAATTATGCTAGAAAATTGTGCAAATAAGTATTTCAGTCATTGCAAATACGGCTTTTGGTCTAAGTCTTGCTTTTTCTCAAAGGGAGTAAAGCCTCCTGAAGTAGAATGGGTGGTAAAAATGTACTCAGCACTAAGTATTGTGTACTTTAGGGTATTGCATTATTTGTCTCCACTCACAATGGGTGTATTTAGGGGTGGTAATAATAGTAATAATTGAACGCATTTCCTCCTCCAAATGTTTCTCAAATGTTCAGTTAACTCTCCATCATCTGTAAGAGGTAAGTAAATGTATTTTCACCAAAAATCAGTGATCTTAAAGGAACACTTCTAAAACCATACAGATGCATTAGGAAGCCAGAGCCAGTTTTCAAGTTACTGTTAGTAATTAGAGACGAGTCTGATTTCACAGGCATTCAAATTAGGCCCTTAGGTGCCTGCAGTATTTGAACGAGTAGAGAAAGCAATGATAAATGAACTGCAGAGAGAACCTTGCTGCTTTTCTGTGTTCTGATATCCCTTACTCTTTTTGTTTTGTTTTTGTTACTGCTCGCTGCTTTTCTGTGTTCTGATATCCCTTACTCGTTTTGTTTTGTTACTGCTTTTGCTATTTAAAATACCACTGCTGATAATGGTAGCATGGAAACCTGTATGAAGTAGCACTCCCACCTGATAGCAAATTGAGCTTTGTCCATGCTAGAATTTGTCTTACCAGATTTTGGGTTTAGCTGCTATACCTATGAATGTCTGATGTTCCCAGTGGAGGGAAAGCTTTCCACTTAGAAGAGAGGTTTACCTACTGTGTGTCACATGAGAATGAAGGTGTCACTGACTCCCAGTTTTGTGATAGTTATTCTGTCATCCATAACCTTCTTTGTTCCTTGATTAGGCACCCAGTTGGTCCGGAGCTTGGTAAATTCACAGCTAGTGGCTGTGAGTCAGCAGCAAGTGGAACGACCCTTGCGCACTAGACAGTCATCAGAATGTGTAAGTTCAATTAGCTGTAGTATTGAATCAATCCTGAGCCATGTTAGGAACAGGCTTGCAAAGTTTTTTTTCTCAACAGATTCTGAACTTCATAATTACAATATCGCACTCTGACAGTTAATGAAATTTGATTTAGAATGTAGTGTGTCTCAGAGGGCATTTATGGTCTTTCAGTGTGGAAGCAACGTAATCATATTTCATATGAGATAGCTTGCAGTTCTGAGAGACCAGCTTCACTGTCTCTGGGGTGCCTTTTGAAGTCTTCTGCTTAGTTATTCTGGTGATGTTTTTGTGTTACTAAGGGAAGTAAATCTGTAAACATAGGTCTGTGACTATTATAATTCTCTGTGGTTTAAGATAACTGTCCTAAAGGACTGTCATGAACAAGCAGGGAACACAGATGAATCATATTTCAGTTCAGATGTGATACAGGGAAAAAGTCTGCCAAGAGCACACTAGAAGCACAAACAGAACAAGAGGCAAATCTTTGGTGATTTCTTTTAGAACAGATAAAAGATGTTTAACCTGCTTCTAAGTGGAGATAGACAGCAGAGACTATTTGAACAAATACAACTGTTGGCATTTAATATTTTTTGAGTACAGAATACAGCAGAAATTCATTAATTTTAAGCTGTTAGTCTGAGAAACATGTGCCTGCTAATGAGGCTAGCAAGTGAGCCAGTAGAATAATCAGGGCTGCTGATCACTAATGCTGTTTGTTCAGTTTACTACTTCAGGGTATAGAGCAAGCATTAAAACAGCTCTAATCTAAGTGAAGGACTGAGCTGCCACTGTGCTATCCCATGACACAGGAGTATCTTTTTAGGAGTCTTGTATTTCTACTTGGGAAGTTGAAGCTGGACATATGGGTGTGCACGCAGGCACATCAAGCACACTGGACCTACTGCATGTGCACATTCTTATGTCATCTGGGTGTCATGGATCCTCTGTGTGTGTTGCATGGTTGTTATTTGATCAGGATTTCTTGGTGATTATGTGCTGTCTAGGGATTGTTTGAGGAGAATGGGAAGAGGGAATGTTCGTGGAGCAAGAGGGAGAGAAAAGGGAAAGCAGGAGTGTGAAGGCAAACCAAGAGGCTACAGCTCAACATTTCTGTTCTGCTGCTGGCATGTCCAGTGCATGCTTGTGGTGGTTCAGTGTTTACAGGAAGGGCAGTGTTTACAGAAAGCACTCTTTTTACAACATTTAAACTCTTTAAACTAGTTGTTGTCTTTTAAATCCCAGGTTTTACTTTCTCTTCCTGGTTTGATAGAAAAGCATAGGAGGCACTCATGCAGGAACAGTTGGAATAGCAGCAGGGAGTTATCCCAACGTCTGGGCTTCAGCTTTTGCTCAGGCTATAAGGCACACTCTGAAAGGCTGGCATGGGGAAGTCCTGCAGACCTCTGTTTATTGAAGAAGAGTGGCTGCCAGTTTAAACAGACAGGCAAGCAGTCTTGGATAGTGACAAGCTGCAGAGGTGTTTGACAGCAGCTGAATTACTTGGAGCTGACTGCTATAGTGTATGGAGGGAGACAACTCCAGAGGGAGATTGGGATCTGAGATTCAGGTAATTCTGTCTGGTTTGGGTAGCTGTCTGTCATTTGAATTTTTCTTTGGAGGCACCTATCTCATCATCACCATCTTGTCTCAGTGATTAGAACTTGATTAGTTTAATCCAGACATTGCTAAAAAATGTTGGCAGATAAACTGGGGAACTCTTTTCCCAGCCACCCCAGTTCTTAAAGTGCTTCTCTGCTTAGTTGCAATACCAAATGGATGAAATAGGCTCATGTTTGTTGCTGATGAAAGGGAAAGCTCTATAAAGGTTGTAATAATTTCTACTTCTGTGCCTTCAGCCATGGCCTCACATCAGGATATGGAGGCTGAAATTGGGCTTTTGAAGTTTGAACTTCTTGTTTAACAATTTAAATGAAATACTGGGAGTTTACGTTGGAATTACTTTTAAAAGTGTCTGTAGTAGTAAGAACCATTCTGTTTACAAGTAAGTTAATGAGATTCTGGGCTTTAAATAAGTAGGGTGGGGAAGACTGATTAAACGTGTGAGGAGTCTAATGAAAAGCTTGGGACTAATGATTGCTCAGAATCATGTTTCTGGTGGTGGGATGTGCCACATTAGCAGATGGAATTATTTGATGGTAAAAAATCGGTGTTGGTTGAACTGCACTTATTTATACCAGATGGAAGTTGGGCACAGTATTTGGGGTGTTGCTGGGAGTGCTTTGCCTTTTTAATGAATAGTTTTATACAGAGGGTGCTTATTAAAGGGAAACACCATTAAATAGCTAGTGAACTAATCAGAAATACATCCTTTTTTTTTTCCCCTCCAGTCTGACTCGCATCAGTCATCTTACTCTCCACAACCTCAGCAATTTACACAGAACTCTTCTCAGCCAGCCTCCATTAACCAGACTCAGCCACAACCAATATCCCAGTCTAAGCACGTTCCGCCACCACAGCAGGGTGCACAGCCACCCCATCAGGTCCAGCTGCCTTTGTTTAACTTTCCCCAATCTCCCCCAGGTCAGTATTCCACCTTGCATAACCTGGGACTACTTCAGATGCACCATCACCACCAAATTCAGCTTCCCAACACTTCTTGGCCTATTCATGGGCCTGTAATTCACTCTGCACCGGGTAACCCTCATCATTCTACAAATGTTCCATTTTCTATGAGATCTGGCAGCAGCAGCACCACAAATAACCAGAGCAGTGTAAGCTTGAATGATCCCAGTATCATCTTTGCACAGCCTGCTGCCAGGCCCATGGGAATCCCCAGCACTTCTCATGAGGGACACTGGCACAATCCTGTGACTCCAAACTCACTGGTGAACAATGGCACTGTGGGGAATTCAGGTAACTCTTCTCTGTTGTATCAAACCTCTCGCACGTTGTGTACAAACGTTAAGTGTTACAGAAACAGCTAACTCTTTCAGCTTGTTTTATATTAAAAATACAGTGCTTAAGAAACTAAGTAATTGCTTAAATTGTCTTAATATTTTCATAGGAAAAAATAAGGCAAGTTGGATGGTTGTAAATTGAAGGTATTGATCCTATGTGCCATTAATGGCTGGCAGATGAGAAATCATGCATTCAACTGAGAAATGTTCTAATAATTGTTTGAGTCAAAAGCCCATTTCCATGAATATGCTTACAAAGACAGTTTCCATTTATCTCGTTTTGTAGTTTATTCAATGAATGCTGAAACTGCAACTACAAACACAGAGACTGGCAGAATTATGGTTGTGCAAGTTGAATATTGCTTCCTTGCATTTAGTGCAATATGACATGATCTTACATATTCTTTTTTCCTGTAGTTTATCCTGTTACATTTAACATCCTTATCTTATAATCATTTCCTGAAAATACTTCATAGAGATTACCCCTGCAACAAGAAGGCAACAGCCTTCTGCCTCCCACCAAAGCCAAGCACATTTGTATGTTTGAGGCTGAGAGAAACAGTGTAGTTATGACCCGTGCAGTTTGCTCTGTGACATGAAATGTTGCAGCCCCTACATTTTAACTTACCTTTTGAATCATTATAATGGTCATTCAATGGATTTTGAATATCCTGCACACCCTTTCTCTGCACTAATAAGGAGATTGACAGCAACAGTAGATTTTAAACTGAGTCTGCAGTGTTGGATGAGGATTCACCAGTGAGTTTCAGATATTTGTTGAAGTGCTGGAGATACGTTTTTCTCTTCAGCAGTGTGTTTTCTGTGCCTTCAGCGTGCTTTGTCCCTGCCTCTCCATTTCTGATCTTAATTATCTGTCCATACTCGCCTGTCCCCTCCTCCATGTTCACCCCAGCTCTGATTTTTTTTCTCAAGCAGCTCCTTCCAATCCAAGTCTTCTTACCCAGGTAGCTGCATTCTTTCAGACAAGCTTCCCAAATCCTATTTTCTGCTCCATTCTCCCTTAGCGAGTCCCGTTTCTCATTGTGTAGTCAATCAGCTCCTGTCTTCAGTCTTTTTTCCTTTCACTCTCTCTTTGTTTATTTGCTTCCACTCTCATCATGCCTGCACAAAAGGTTTCCTAGTTTTCTTGTGCTGTCACTCACAGTATTTTTTTCCCTTCCCTCAACTTCCATGTATTTCCAAACTCATCACACTACTTTTCCTTGATCCCAGAGCTGGTATTTTTCCTCTTTGTGCTTTAATCAGTTTTGTTTTCTTTTTGGCTTAGATGCCATTAAAGTGGGGTCACTGGCTGAGTGCATGGCAGAGATGAGCTGTCTGCTCTCTGTTTGAAGCATGATTTCTTACTTGCCTGGGACAATTTTGGAACATTGAGTTTGTGGAGGCTTTGTCTTGGCTCACGTAACTTTGAGTTGGAAGGAGCGACCTTACTTTCTTCTCAGCAGACAACTGATCAGAAGTAGGATCATTAGAAGTTTCAGGCAGACAACTTCTTTTCATACTTACTCCAGAGCCATGCCTCATGTTTTATGGTATAAAAGTTACTTTTTTTTTTTTTTAAATGCACAGCTCTTATTTAATGCAAGTCTGTTTGCATGTTTTTTTATTATGAGTCTGAAGGGGAACTGATCTACTGAGGATGGTTACTTAAATTTATTTATTTTTAAATGCGCATTGATCAAATTTTTAAAATAGCAGGCATTGCTGTGTCTTAGGAAAGTGGGAGCTACAAACAGAAAGAGAAGAAAAATAATACAGCATTGGGCATTAAGTGTTGTGTGTCCTGCCTCCTTGGATGCTTGTTTTCTCATCCTTAATGCTGCAGTAATACTGGATTTGTAAATGGAATAATTTATAACTAGTGTACTTATTTCAAATAAGTTTTTGGTTTTCTCTCTAAAAATCCATTTGAAGTTTGTCCAGTAATCTAGATAGTAAGTTTCTTAAGCATACAAGTATACGTGGAATTCCAGTGTACATCTGAGAATTAATTCTTGAAGTAGGATAGTAGCTTTCATGTCACAGCTGTGTCAGTGATAGTGAATATCTGTGTGGGATCAGATATTAGTAACAATGTTCAGGCCTTGTACTTTTCATCGTGAGTATTACATAGGAATAGTGAAATTGTAGGTCTTGTTTTTAATACTGATTCATCCTCTGTCTTGCTCCCTAATAAATTCAACTATAGTGAATAATGAAGTAATTTGGGTGGTAATTTTTATGGATGTATATTGGAAAAAAAAAAAAAGAGTAGCACATCAGGCTAATCACATTAAGTCCCCTGCAAGCTGTTATTTAAGATGTAAATTGTGTTTGTGACTTACTGTTTAATTATTTCAACTTGCAATGTGCTTTTCCCTTTCAATTGAAAAATAGATCAGGGTTTCCAAGGACAGTTTGGTAAAATGAACCCTCCTTCTGTCCCTTGGGACCATGGGACCCCTACCCATTTTCCTCTCCTCCGAGGAGCGTGGCCTTACAATATGCCTCAGAACTACATGCAGCAGGGAAATGCCAGCTACCCACCGAACAAACCTTTCTACCCTCAAGGTACTAGAACTAGTATATGAATCAACAGCTCATGCAACATGTCTCTTTACTGTCTCAAAGGCTTTAAAAGCCAAGGAATCATGTTTCACTTGCTAGGCTCCCTGGAACCATAATGAATCCAAGAGTCAGATCAACGCTTCAGCTTCCTGTATGGATGGATGGAAAATCTTTGTGGGAGGGGAGGGGTTAAATAAAATTCTGGAAACTGAGACAATTTGCAGTCTCTTGCACTTGTAGCTCCTGCTTCACTGCTGCTGTCTCAACTGTAGATCCACCTCTGCTTCAAGAGAGGTCAAGATGATTTGCCCATCAGTGCAATAAGAATATGAAGGAATTTTTGTCCTAATTTATTTTATTTGGCCTTTGTACCTTGCCTTTTTTGAATTAATTGCATAGGCAAAAACTTGAAAGACCATAGAATAATTCAAGTTGGAAGGGGCCTCTGGAGGTTATCTAGACCAACCTGTGTGCAGTCAAAGCAGCAGTAACTTGCAAGGTAGATCAGGATCAGTTATTCAGGGTACTTTGAAGGACTGACTTTATCTCAGCTTTTTCTGATGCGAGGGAATGGTAAGTTAGGGGTTCAGCATCTGGCAGGAGTGGGAAAGGCTGTAGGGTTTCAGATTTTACTTGGAGACTTTGCAATTACGGTGTTGCTGGGTCACCTAGTATAAACCAAGACATACAGGTGCTAAATCCTGTTTTCAAAATGTAATCTATGTGCTGCAACAAGGTTTCCAAGTGAGACCAGTATTTAAAAATCCTGAGATTATTTTTATCAACTGACTAAGCCATGATGTGCAACCAAATGATGATTCTGAGGAAATTCTGGAGATAAGCTTAAAGTAACAGTAAATTGTCCCATTAAATGGGGTCCTCATAGAGGTAGCATTTGTGTCAGTCTAGTAAATGGCTTTATTTCTAAGTAAGATTAATAGATTGAATATAGCCAAGCACTGTTAAATATATTGAATTTGCTGAAGTAATTGTAATCCATTTTCTTTTAGCTGGTCCACTGATGCAGAGTAACCAGCGGTTCTCGCTTCTGTCTCAAGGACACCCACACTTGAATCTGAATTACATTCAACAGAAAAAGTGAAATTGAATGGGATTTTGGGGGGAGGGTGGATGGGGGAGGGTAGGGGAGGAAAAAAATAATCAGGTTCTGATTTAAAATCTTAATGCAACATGTTTAGATACAAGATTATTTAAGACTGTTTTTAAACTGTATCATTTGTACATAGATATGAAGTATAGTTTTTACTAGTATCACAAAACTGAGTGATACAAATGTCATCTATTTTATTACCCTATTTTTAAGGGGAATTGTGTTTTGTTTTATCTTGATAAACTGTAAAGAGAGAGAATTTTTAAAATTAAGTTCTTTATTTTCTATTAGCTGTATTCATACTTTGGTTGCTTCAGACTTTATATATATTGTTCTAAAAAAAAATAAAATTAGAAGGGGATTTCATGTGTTTAAAAATTTGTCACTTCTATTCTTTACAGAACTATGTAGTGCCAAAAAACTTTTTAAAAGAAAAATAAAACTGCAAAAAAAGGACATAAGACTTCTTCCTCTTCCCTATTCATATGCATGCTTGCATTTAACTGTAATTAGGAAACCAGAGTAATAAAATCTGCTTTAGAGGAGACGCAGGATGGGCAGCTTTAAGAAATTAATCAGTATAACATGTTTTTCCCCATGCAGCTGTCATTGCATGTGCTGCTCACAGCCAGTATGTCTTTCTTACAAATACTTGAGGGAAGAGCACACTTGCTTTTCTGTTCAACAACTTTGCGAAATAATATGAAAATACTATAGAAAAACTAGGCTGTAGTATGAAGTAATTTTAAGGAGGATTTTCCATAAATCCACTTGACATTCTGCTTCTTCTGTAAATACCCATGGGGCAGCACATGGAAATGCTTAAGCCCTAAATACAGTGTTCAGGAGATAAACCTGTCAGCCCCTGCTCCTGAAGCAAGACAGTGAACAAGGGGATGGTACACAACAGGTTTAACACAACTTACTTCCTGAGTGGTCTGTAATTAAATGTACTAAGATGAGAACTGTAATGTAATTATTCTTTATTTGAAAAACAGGGACTTGCTGAATGCTGACTTCATTCAGAGAAGGTAGAGCTGAGCATAACTGGCAGATTCTGTTGCGAGTCAGAAGTTTGCCACAAACTATGCTCAAAGTAGTGGGTTGCTGCCTTTAAATGTACTAACTTCTTGCCTGAATAGAACTGAGCGATGCTTTGTACTACTTCAAATTCTTAACTGTCTGATGGTAGCATCAGAAGCAGCATATCATGAGATGTGAGGATGATTCTTACCAAGGAACCACTAACTGGAGAGCTGGTTTAAGTTAGCTCTTACTTTTAGTAAACACATTGAGTTACCAGAGTCTTACTTCCCATCCTGTAGTGGAGGTTTGAGACAGACCAGGCTTGTGGCTCTTCAGTCTTTGTAACTCAAACATACTCTTACTTTGGCAACTTAATGCAGTGGCAGTTTGTCAAAACAACACTCTGATTCAAGAATAAATCCAGGTTTAACTAGAAGTCAAATATTATTAAAGAAACAGCAAGGAGCCTTTAAAGACAAACTCACTCCCCTTTTTTTCTTTATTGGTCTTCACTAGTTTTTACAGGCCTTGAGAAAAACAACCCTCAAATCCTACCACAAGGACAAGTAGCTACATAAAAAGTATCCATAGCTTTCTTTTAATTAAAAAAGAAACAAGCAAAACTTGTACAAGAGAAGGGGCAAAGAAATGGGCTGCTAAAGCAGCCAGTACATGTCCAGCTGTCCTGCAAAGCAAACAGGACAGTATCAGACTGCAGTTCAAGGTCCTTAAATGGTGTGTTGGATTTAGTCTCCTATTCATTCCCTCGTCGACTCTTCTTGTGACTTTTCTTAGATCTGAAACAAAAAACAAAAGCCCAATGACACAGCACTAGTAACTGTTTTGAAAGACTAAAGTGATTTGTAGCAGTAAGTGGTGTTTTCTATGGTCAACTACAGGTAGCATGACCTGACTACAGCACTGAGGTACCGTATGAAATATCTGATCTCCAACATTGTAAAAAGACCTACAATCCCCAAGAGTAAATGACAAGAAAAAGCACCTATAGCAGAACAGACACTCTTGAGAAACAGGCCAAGCCTTTACCTTTCAGGTGATTTGGAATGACTTCTGTGTCTGTGACTACGATGATGCCCTACAAGACAAAAAGGTAACAGTTACTTCCATGGACCATGGAATTCTTTTTTGTTTTGCTAATGTAATCTGCTTCTGGTGATCAAGTGTCCTAGAATAATGCCAGAACAGCCCCAGCCTTAAGTAGGCACTCAAATTAACCTCCTGGCAAATACCTGAAAAACATACTCAGGGCAATTTTGTGTGTATTAAAGGAGTTCTCCAGCTGTGCATTCATACAACTAGCAGTTTTATGAGCCAGATTAAGCACTTATGCTATCTTCTTGATACCGTGACGTGGATTTTCTTGCAGCAGTGGATGTTCTGCTGGTAAAGGCCTTGCCAGAGTTAATCTGTAAATGACAAAATTACCTGGAGACTTAGATCTCGATCTGTGGCGCCTCTCCCTGGATCTGCTCCGGTGCCGTCTTGGGCTTTTGCTGCGATGCCTCTCCCGCCGTGGGGATGGGCTGAGGGAGAGGAAGCTTGTAAGACAGACATCATAAAAATGCTCCCGTTTTAATATTAGATAATAAAATGAAAGATTACCTTCTTCTTTTGGGAGAGCGGCTTCGTCTGGAATTGGGGGAGAGAAGAAAAAAAAAGTTACTAGAAATCATCAGCAGAACCAGGTCTTATATCTCCTGTCTGCTCCAGCATCAGCACCAGGGTTTCTTGTGAACTCCCATGTCCCCAGCCCCCACAGTCAGGCAATCATGTTAGTAATAAGTTCTCACTGACTGATTTATTACTTGGTTCTCCAAGTAACTGTCAAATTTGGCTGAAGTTGGCAAGCAAGTTCAAGCATTACTGAAGGACTAGAGGAAGGGACAGATGGGCTGACAGTGGCTGCGCACTGCAGCTCCTTGCTTGAGAAAGTGGCTAAAGGAATTGGGAGGTGTAAAGAGGTTCTAGCTAAATTGTTATCTTTGCTTCTGTGCCTTGCTCCAGCCATCTCCAGTACAATAGGTAAAAATACTGCTCAAGAAGAGCCGTGTCACCTTCTCGGAGACCTGCTTCGGCTGCGCCTGTACCGCACAGCTGGGGATCTGCGAGGTTTGTCCAGGTCCCTGTAGCCTCTTCTGCGGTGGTCAGGGGAGGGTGCTCGCTCCAGCTGGGCACAACAAGGGGGGGAAGTTTCTGTAAGTCTTGTTGCATCAAGGTTTTTACCTACCAGTAAGGATCTCTGAACAATTAATACAAATTACAAAACTCAGGCAATCAAGTTTCCCCGTCCTCAAGTGTTTCATATTTAGGAATGAGTGCCTGAGCTTGCCAGTTGGAAATACAAGTGGCCAGATCTGATACTGTTAATTCTTAAGAAGTGCAGCAGAGTTGACAACCACAGTTGTCATAACCTCCATCATCACCTGTAGCTCTCTCCATTATACATGTACGTAAAACGATTTATCTGAAATATGACAAGGAATGGATGCAGATTTGTTAATTTCAGGAGACAGAAAAGCCTGACGAACGCAGAGCAGTCGAGAACTGCTTCAGGATCTAAGAAGTTATCACAAGCAGCTTATATGAAAATATGTTAAGGGAGGAGATAAGAGTCACAGGCAGGCTCCTGGTTCCTCTCCTCACATATTTTTCATAGGCCATGAAGTGTTCTGTTATAGCTCAGTACCAGCTTTAACTATCCCTCTGCAAAACACTTCACCAACCTTTTCATCCTCTTCCTCCTCCTCCTCACTAGATTCTACATCATCCATGTCTTCTTCCAGAGCACTGACACGAGGCTCAAGTTGCTCAGCTTCTTCCAAGACATATCGTTTCTAGGAGAAATTATAACTTGCTTTTACATAACCCAAGTAAGAACAAATACCCAGGGAGGTGTCTCGGGTGCCAGATGGGCCCATGTCATGGCTTGATGCAACAAGCCAGTAGCTGATACAGCTACTGAATCCAATGCACTTAAGAATTCAACAACTATCCACTTTTTAAATCCAGACCTGTAATCGAGGCAGGATGATATCGCATACACGTTCCTCATGGAGGAGTTCATCAATAAATTCATCCACGTGCATCAGTTCAAATTCTGCGGGAAGGGGGAAAACAGCATTTAGAAGGCAGAGAGGATGAGCACTGGTGGCTGAAGTAAAGAAATGCTTCAGGCAATTTAAGTGTGCTGGACAAACAACAGTTCCAAAACAACTCTCACAGATGAGGAAAACCATTAGGTCTGTCTTGCAAAAAGAACAAGTTACTGCACAAGTGGGATTAGCAGATTCACTGTGCTTAAACCAGCACTCAAATGGTGTCTCTCTGGTATTGATGAAACTGCTTTTTGATACCCAACAGAAAAGAGAAGCACGTGGGGATGGCAATGTAAGCAAAGCAGGTTTCACTTGTTCAAGTTAAGAAGACCAACAGCAGACTATCCAGAGCATAAATAAGTAAAGTTTAAAAAAGAAGGTTACACTACAATTTTTAAGCTTATATTACTAAAGAGAGCATTTACTTCTAGCACAGTGCATTTTTTTAACAAAAGGTCACCTATGAGTTACTGAGAAGCCACAACTAAGTAAGACTGCTTACCCCCATTTCTGTTCTGACTTTTTATTTTTCTGTAGTCATTGTAGAGTGGTTCAAGATACTTGTAGCAGTCAATGGCCGTGCCTGTCAGTCTCATGTACAACGCACCAAGCATTCGGACATACCTGGAAATCAACCAGATCAGGTAGCTGAGCTCTTCACAGAGTTAGTAATTTAGATGAAAGAGTTTTTACTGAAAGTTTCTGAGAGAAATCAGTGCACTAAAATCACGAGAATAACTGACCATTTAGACTTGCTACTTCAAGTACTGCAGTGTATGGGTTGCTCATGCACACAGGAACTGCATCACAAAGATGAAAGAAATACTGAAGAAAAAGTAGAATAAAAAGGCTCTCTGAATGCACCTCTTTCTCAGTACTTCAGGCAGAGGTGTTTTATCTCAGAGAACCATCGCCACAAAAGCAAAAGCCCGACTGCCACGAAGAGGCAGGACATGGTTTTCAACCAGAGTCTAGCAGGGCCCACTGAAAGCTAAACCCTGCAGGGAGGAAGAAGCTTCCGTGGCTGTTGTGAGCGCCCACGTCCCATTCAGCACCAGCAAAGGAGCAGGAAAACAGCCCGACGCGCCCCCGACTCACTTGAAGTCCTCGTTCTTGATGAACTCCACGATGATGTCCTTCTCCGGCTGGATCTGCAGCATCTTCAGCGTCAGGCACAAGAAGGGCGTGGGCTTGATGTTCCC